ACTATGTTGATCATATCTACTATATGATTCACGTTCGACCTTTCGGTCTCAGTGTTCTGAGGCCATATCTGCAAATGCTAGGCTCGTCAAGTTTAACCCGAGTATTCTGCACGTGCAAAACTGGCTTGCACCCGTTGGATGTGAACGTAGAGCTTACCACACCCGATCATCACGTGGTGTCTCGGCACGACGAACTGTAGCAATGGTGCATACTCAGGGAGAACACTTGTACCTTGAAATTTAGTGAGGGATCATCTTATAATGCTACCGCCGCACTAAGCAAAATAAGATGCATAAAGGATAAACATTGCATGCAATCAAAATATGTGACATGATATGGCCATCATCATCTTGTGCCTTTGATCTCCATCTCCAAAGCACCGTCATGATCTCCATCGTCACCGACTTGACACCTTGATCTCCATCGTAGCGTCGATGTCATCTCGCCAACTATTGTCTCTATGACTATCGCTACCGCTTAGTGATAAAGTAAAGCAATTACATGGTGATTGCATTTCATACAATAAAGCGACAACCATAAGGCTCCTACCAGTTGCCGATAACTTCTACAAAACATGATCATCTCATACAACAATTTATATCTCATCACGTCTTGACCATATCACATCACAACATGCCCTGCAAAAACAAGTTAGACGTCCTCTACTTTGTTGTTGCAAGTTTTACGTGGCTATTACGGGCTTCTAGCAAGAACCATTCTTACCTACACATCAAAACTACAATGATTTTTCGTCAAGTGTGTTGTTTTAACCTTCAACAAGGACCAACCGTAGTCAAATTCGATTCAACTAAAGTTGGAGAAACAGACACCCGCCAGCCACCTGTGTGCAAAGCACGTCGGTAGAACCGGTCTCATGTACGTGGTCATGTAATATTGGTCCGGGCCGCTTCATCCAACAATGCCGCCGAATCAAAATAAGACATTGGTGGTAAGCATTATGACTATTATCGCCCACAACTCATTGTGTTCTACCCGTGCATATCATCTACGCATAGACCTGACTCTGATACCACTGTTGGGGAACGTAGCATGCAATTTCAAAAAAATTACCACGATCACGCAAGATCTATCTAGGAGATGCATAGCAACGAGAGGGGGAGAGTGTGTCCATGTACCCTCGTAGACCGAAAGCGGAAGCATTAGGTTAACGCGGTTGATGTAGTTGAACGTCTTCGCGATCCAATCGAGCTAGTACCGAACGTACGGCACCTCCGAGTTCAGCACATGTTCAGCTCGATGACGTCCCTCAAACTCTTGATCTAGCAGAGGGTCGAGGGAGAGTTCCATCAGCACGACGGCGTGGTGATGGTGATGGTGATGTGATCTACATAGGGCTTTGCCTAAGCACTATTACGCTATGACCGGAGGAGTAAACTATGGAGGGGGCACCGCACACGGCTAAGAGAACAATTGATGTGCTTTAGGGTGCCCCCTGCCCCCGTATATAAAGGAGGAGGGGAGGAGGCCGGCCACAAGGGGCGCGCCAAGGAGAGGGGAGTCCTACTAGGACTCCAGTCCTAGTATGATTCGGCCCCCCTTTTTCCTTCTACCGAAGGGGGAAAAGGGGAAGGAGAGGGAGTAGGAGAAGGAGAGAGGGGTGGCGCCCCCTTCCCTAGTCCAATTCGGCCTCCTCCCAAGTGGGGGGCGCACCAGCCCCTTGAGGGCTGGTTAGCCTCCCTCCTATGGCCCATATGACCCATATCTTTCCCTAAGGGGTTCCGCTAACCCCTCCGGTACTCCGGTATGTACCCGATACACTCCAGAATCCTTCCGTTGTCCGAATACTACCTTCCAATATACCAATCTTTACCTCTCGACCATTTCAAGACTCCTCGTCATGTCTATGATCTCATCCGGGACTCCGAACAAACTTCGGTCACCAAAACACATAACTAATAAATACAAACCGTCATCGAATGTTAAGCATGCGGACCCTACGGGTTTGAGAACTATGTAGACATGACCGAGACACATCTCCGGTCAATAACCAATAGCGGAACCTGGATGCTCATATTGGTTCCTACATATTCTACGAAGATATTTATCGGTCAAACCACAATAACAACATACGTTATTCTCTTTGTCATCGGTATGTTACTTGCCCGAGATTCGACCGTCAGTATCATCATACCTAGTTCAATCTCTTTATCGGAAAGTATCTTTACTTGTTCCGTAATACATCATCCCACAACTAAATCATTAGTCACATTCCTTGCAAGGCTTATAGTGATGTGCATTACTGAGAGGGCCCAGAGATACCTCTCCGATACTCAGAGTGACAAATCCTAATCTCGATCTATGCCAACTGAACAAACACCTTCGGAGACACCTGTAGAGCATCTTTATAATCACCCAATTACGTTGTGACGTTTGATAGCACACAAGGTGTTCCTCCGGTATTCGGGAGTTGCATAATCTTATAGTCAAAGGAATATGTATAAGCCATGAAGAAAGCAATAGCAATAAAACTTAATGATCATTATGCTAAGCTAACGGATGGGTATTGTCCATCACATCATTCTCCTAATTATGTGATCCCGTTCATCAAATGACAACACATGTCTATGGTTAGGAAACTTAACCATCTTTGATTAACGAGCTAGTCTAGTAGAGGCTTAATAGGGACACTGTGTTTTGTCTATGTATCCACACGTGTACCAAGTTTCCGGTTAATACAATTATAGCATGAATAATAAACATTTATCGTGATATAAGTAAATATAAATAACAACTTTATTATTGCCTCTAGGGCATATTTCCTTCAAACATGCCCTGCAAAAACAAGTTAGACATCCTCTACTTTGTTGTTGCAAGTTTTACGTGGCTGCTACGGGCTTCTAGCAAGAACCGTTCTTACCTACGCATCAAAACCACAACGATTTTTCGTCAAGTGTGATGTTTTAACCTTCAACAAGGACCGGTCGTAGTCAAACTCGATTCAACTAAAGTTGGAGAAACAGACACCTGCCAGCCACCTATGTGCGAAGCACGTCGGTAGAACCAGTCTCATGAACACGATTATGTAATGTCGGTCCAGGCCGCTTCATCCAACAATACCACGAATCAAAGTAAGACGTTGGTGGTAAGCAGTATGACTATTATCGCCCTCAACTCTTTGTGGTCTACTCGTGCATATAACATCTACGCATAGACTTGGCTCAGATGCCACTGTTGGGGAACACAGTATTCCAAAAAAAATCCTACGATAACGCAAGATCTATCTAGGAGATGCATAGCAACGAGAGGGGAGAGTGTGTCTACATACCCTCGTAGACCGAAAGCGAAAGCGTTTAGTAACGCGGTTGATGTAGTCGAACATCTTCACGATTCAACCGACCCTAGCACCGAACATATGGCACCTATGTGTTCAGCACATGTTCTGCACGACGACGTCCCTCGAGCTCTTGATCCAGTTGAGGACGAGGGAGAGTTCCATCAGCACGACGGCGTGGCGACGGTGATGATGAAGTTACCGGCGCAAGGCTTCACCTAAGCACTACGACGATATGACCGAGGTGGTAAACTATGGAGGGGGGCACCGCACACGGCTAAGAGATGTCTGTTATGCCCTTGGGGTGCCCCCGCCTCCGTATATAAAGGGGGAGGCGAGGAGCCGCCCCCTAGGGCGCGCCAAGTGTGGGGAGTCCTACTAGGACTCCCTAGTCCTAGTAGGACCCCACTCTCCTTTTTTTCCTTTTCCAGAGTAGCAAAAGGGGATAAGAGAGAAGGAGTAGGAGAGGGAAAGGGGGGAGCCACCCCCACCCCTTGTCCAATTCGGATTGGCAGGGGGCGCCACCTCCTTGGCCGGCCCTCTCTTCTCCACTAAGGCCCATGATGGCCCATTAACTTCCTGGGGGGGGGGGGGTTCGGTAATCCCCGGTACTCCGAAACTTAACCGAAACTTCCCGAAACCATTCCGGTGTCTAAATGTAACCTTCCAATATATGAATATTTACCTCTCGACCATTTTGAGACTCCTCGTCATGTCCATGATCTCATCCGGGACTCCGAACATACTTTAGTCATGAAATCACATAACTCATAATACAAATCGTCATCGAACATTAAGCGTGCGGACCCTACGGGTTCGAGAACTATGTAGGTATGACCGAGACACATCTCCAGTCAATAACCAATAGCATAACCTGGATGCTCATATTGGCTCCCACATATTCTACGAAGATCTTTACCGATCAAACCGCATAACAACATACGTTATTCCCTTTGTCATCGGTATGTTACTTGCCCAAGATTCGATCGTCGGTATCATCATACCTAGTTCAATCTTGTTACCAGCAAGTCTCTTTACTCATTCTGTAATGCATCATCCCGTAACTAACTCATTAGTCACATTACTTGCAAGGCTCATAGTGATGTGCATTACCGAGAGGGCCCAGAGATACCTCTCCGATTCACGGAGTGACAAATCCTAATCTTGATCTATGCCAACTCAACAAACACCATCGGAGACACCTGCAGAGCATCTTTATAATCACCTAGTTACATTGTGACGTTTGATAGCACACAAGGTGTTCCTCCGGTATTTGAGAGTTGCATAATCTCATTGCCAGAGGAACATGTATAAGTCATGAAGAAATCAATAGCAATAAAACTAAACGATCATTATGCTAAGCTAACGGATGGGTCTTGTCCATCACATCATTCTCTAATGATGTGATCTCGTTCATCAAATGACAACACATGTCTATGGTCAGGAAACTTAACCATCTTTGATTAACGAGCTAGTCAAGTAGAGGCATACTAGGGACATTCTGGTTGTCTATGTATTCACACATGTACTAAGTTTTTGGTTAATACAATTCTAGCATGAATAATAAAAATTTATCATGATATAAGGAAGTATAAATAACAACTTTATTATTGCCTCTAGGGCATATTTCCTTCAGGAGGCTGAGTCACATGCTGCTTGACGGAGGATGCCCTCCATGCCCACATATTCGCAAAGAGTCTTGCCCGGATGGTCCATGCCCTCGGAAAGGAGCAATCTCAGGCGGTCCGTGCCCTCATCGGACGACCCTGTAAAGAGGAGAAGGACGATGCCGACTACATATCGGACAACTCGAGAAGTGAGCAGATTCGGCTCGATCCATATTGCATCTTCTATTGTTATTTCCGCGACAGAGACTATAAGGGCAAGGGCAAGGGTAGCAATGTGTGAACTTCCTCCATAACTGTGGTATTTAGAACATGTCAATTTTTGAATGTCCGATGGCATGTATGATCAACTATTCATATGCTATGTGTGCGATCTAGGTGAACTATGATACGTCTCCAACATATCTATATTTTTTTATCGTCTTGTGCTATTATATTATTAACCTTGGATACTTTATATGTATTTTTATTCTATTTTATATCATTTTTGGGAACTAACCTATTAAACCAGTGCCTAGTGTCAGTTGTTGTTTTTTGCTTGTTTTTTGGTTTCCAGAAAATCAGTACCAAACAGAGTCCAAACGTTACGAAACTTTTTGCTGGTTTTTTATGGACAAAAGAGACCCTATAAGCTTCAGGAGGGACCAGACGGCAAGCGAGGAGATGGCAAGGCAACAGGGTGTGCCCTGTTACCTTGTGGGCCCCAAATGGCTTCGTCTAACCTAATTCCACTTCTATAAATTCTTAAATATTGGAAAAGCAACAGAGAGCCACCTGAAACACTTTTTCCGCCGCCGCAATCTTTTGTTCTTCTGCAATCCCATCTGGAGGCCTTTTTCGGTACTCTGCCAGAGGGGGAATCGATCATGGATGGCCTCTACATCAATCTTGTCGCCCTTTCGATGACACGTGAGTAGTTCACCACAGACCTACGGGGCCATAGCTAGTACATGTACCTAGATGGCTTCTTCTCTCTCTTTGATCTTCAATACAATGTTCTACTCGATCTTCTTAGATTTCTATCCTATGTAATCTTCTTTTGCGGTGTGTTTGTTGGGATCCGATGAATTATGAGTTTATGATCAAATTATTCATTGAAAGTAGTTGAGTTTTTTTTCTAAACTTTATTATGCATGATTGTGATAGCTTTGTATTTTTATCCAATCTATCTGTTTGGTTTGGCCAACTAGATTGATTTATCTTCAGTGGGAGAGGTGCTTTCTAATGGGTTCAATCTTGCGGTGTCCTCACCTTGTGACAGAAGGGGTGACGAGGCATGTATTTGTATTGTTGCCTTTAAGGATAAACGATGATGTTTATTCATATTGCTTGAGTTTACTTTGTCTACATCATGTCATCTTGCTTAAGGCATTACTCTATTTTTCATGAACTTAATACCGTAGATGCATGATGGATAGCGGTCGATTGGTGGAGTAATAGTAGCAGATGCAAGCAGTAATCGATGTACTTATCACGGACGTGATGCCTATATTTGTGATCATTGCCATGAATAAGATCATAACTATGCATTTTTTTATCAATTGACCAACAATAATTTGTCTACCCAACATATGTTATTGTTTAAAGAGAGAAGTCTCTAGTGAAAACTATGGCCTCCGGGTCTACTTTAATCATATTGCTAAAACCAAAAATACCTTGCTGCAATTTTATACTTTTTATTTTACTTTTGTTTTTATGTATCTACCAATACAAGATTTAATCCTCGCAAGTAACGAGTTCAGGGGATTGACAACTCTCTTGCCCGTGTTGGGTGCAAGTATTTGCTTTTATGTGCGTAGGTATTGAAGATAAGAATTTGCGTGGTTCCCTATTGGTTCGATAACCTTGGTTCTCACCAAGAGAAATACTTCTCTGCTACTATATTGCTTCACCCTTCCTTTTCTGAGAAAATTCTAACGCAGCTCACAAGTAGCAAACTACACATGTTTATTCTACGTTGCATTAGAGTGTATTGATTAAAGGATTTGCTGTGAGGGAGACGGTTATGGACTTGAACATTTGAGGGTAACCGGTCACTGTCCATCAATGCGTTGGTAGATATATAGGGCTGGATTTCCCCAATCCGGTTGTAGTAGATGCTCTAACAAGTAACATGTTGTGACTTATGGAGATTATAACTAAAGGGGGGCCATTATGTAGGTAATGCAACGGCCATCATTGTCGATTGCTATCACTTGCATATGAGTTCAGTTCAGTTCGGTTTGAATACTGTCCTCGAGAAGCAAATGGTGTTGTACATGAATTAACTTATCCTGCTAGATTTAGCTTTTGTAGTGAGTGGATTGATGATCCTCCGAATGTTTTACTTTCTTTGCTGGATGTAGTTAGCGTTATCACATGCAAACAGCAAGTTTTAGGACCAATTATTTTGGCAGTTTAAAAAATAAGCCACCTCCTCCCCAGCTTTTCCTATAAGCCATCTCTCTTATTCATTGGGACTTCTAAACTAGTTATGGAATAATTAATTTAGAAGTCTCAACAAATTTTGGGATGGCTTATTTTTTAAGCTGGAAGAAGCAGCTTATTTTTTAAGCCGTCTAAAAGAACCGGCCCTTAGTTGTAGGAAAAAACAAGCAACATGTCATTTTTTTTTTTGAGAATGTGGTCATATTTTCAGATATAGAAAAAACTGGACGGCCTACAGCCGTCCGATCACGTCGACCTTTTTCTTCGAATGCAATCCGATCACGTCGACCTTGTGGTGCCCGCACACCACTCTGGGAAAAAAATCGAACCAAGCCACGAGAAGGGACAGGCCACTACCATGGCGGCCGCGTGCTTCCACCTTCGCCTCTGCCCCCGCTTCCGCGCCTTCGCGTCCTTCTCCTATCGCCCCCTCCTCGCTACCCACCCCAGGACCCTGCCCCTACGACGCACCGGGCCGGCTACGCCGCTCGCCGCCCGCACGCGCCGCGGGTTCGGCTCCTCCACGGCCGCCGCCCCGCCCAACGAGGATGACGACTTTGCCACAGGTTAGCAGCCGCTTCCAGGAACTCTTCGATACTCGGATTGTAGCTTCCATCTCTAATTCTCTTACTAAGTTGTTGTTATTGCACGGTGTAGCTGCGGACCTGCGGTTCGAGCCGCCGCTCAAGGTAGTGCAGTACCCAGACCCCGTCCTGCGCGCACGCAACAAGCGCATCAACACCTTCGACGACAACCTTCGCTCCCTCGCGGACGAGATGTTCGATGTCATGTACAAGTGAGTCTGACGTAGAACCTTGTCCCTTTTACCTTGCTCTGCTGTGCGCACCGGAGCTGTTTGATGAAATTCACATGAGGTTGCCGTGCCACTTTCTTTACTAAATATGCACGGTATTGTTAATTTGAGCACCACTGGCTTGTAGAAGTCCATATAGTGCTCTGATTTTTGCCTCTTCCTGTATACACTGACTTTCCATACACCCCGAGAGTCGCTAGGTGGTTAGGGACCTTGACACTATCAATCGATAGACAAGAGATGCACATGTGTGCACATCTCCTATGTTCTCTAGTATTTTATAGGCATTGTTCTTGTCAAATTAGCAAATTGAGGCGTCATTTATACTCATGAGGCTATCTGAGGCTGTGAGTCCTGGAATGGTCAGGTAGTTGTGCATGAGTGCACATGGTGCTACTGCTATAATTAATAGTTTTTTTATCTGGGCCATATGTCATATTACTCATTTACTTATGGTGGACCTGAAATGCCTTAGTCATCTTCTAGTGGGTGCAAACATCGAATCATAACCTGCTCATAGGCCTCTCCGCTGTTTTTAGAAAGGATTGACCTGGTTTCATGCTACAGGACTGATGGCATTGGTCTCTCGGCACCACAAGTTGGAGTGAACGTGCAGCTCATGGTATTCAACCCAGCTGGAGTGAAAGGGGAAGGAGAGGAAATTGTCCTTGTCAACCCAGTAGTTTACAAGTTCTCGAAGCGCTTGTCAGTCTATGAAGAAGGGTGCTTGTCGTTCCCTGGAATATATGCCAATGTGCTGGTGAGAGTAGCCTTTATCTTTGCTCTTATTAAGATCTACGTTGTTGGCTGTGTCTGTTCACCTCTTGAGTTACTAGGAATTACTGGTTGCCATCCATTCTATGGAGGACATACGGTTGAGTCAATTTTATATTTTCGAGACAACTTTTCAACATGTGCACAAAACCCAGGTGCTATGGTGGAATAAACATTTAACTGATAACTAGATCATACCCTGCGCATTGCTGCAAGAATCAATTGAAATACATTTTAAGTAGATTTAGTTGTATGTGATATAAATTTTAAATTAAGAATATAACTAAAATTTGAAATACTATATTTTGGTTAGATTTAGTTCTTTTCGGATAGGAAATTTAAATTTGTAATATAAGAACTAAATTTGAAATACATATGATTTACTATATTTAGTCATTGAGCTGAGTCTTTTCTCATGCATATTTGTATGTTGAGACTGGGCCTTTTCCATGCATGTGTGCATGTTGAGGGAAATAGATTAGTGGGGGCTAACTATTTAGATATAGAAGATATGTGCAGAAATAACTTATGTGGAAAAGCACACGCATTAGCTAGAAAGATACATCTTTCATGTGTTGAATTTAATATTTGTCTCATTTGTCATGTGTTGCTTAATTCCAAATTCTGTATATTGTTATAGAAAAAATCCACTTTACAACCCTGAACTATTGCAGGAGCCAGGAGTTCATTTTTCAAACTTGAACTGTAAATCTGGTTGTTTGAACATTGAACTCTTTAATGAGTTTACTTTATCCCTGGCTCTCTCAAGTGGTTTTGTGCTGACTGAGAGAACTCGTGCCATCATCTTGCCATGTCAGCAACTTAAGTGAAAAAAGTAAGAATTAAATAATTCAGACAATAAAAGGAAATAATAATAATAATAACAATAATCAGTTTTTTGGAAAGATGTCTAACTTCCAAGCAATTCACAAATAGTAGAAAGTCAATCAGAAAAACCAGATTCTCTTATTTTTTAGTGAAAGAAAAAAAAGCAGATTCAGTAGTTCTCAGATGACATGTAGCTAAACTTTTTTTAGTGTCAGTTTGAAAAACCCAAGTTCCAAAAAGGTTTTTTTTGGTAGTCAAACTGAAAAAAGATTCATCAATAGTCAATCCAAAAAAACTTCTCCCCGAATTTCCTAAATAGTTCACTTTTTGTAAAAATAGATACAACCTCCGATCCGAATTAATTGAGACAGCCTCTATGCAATGTCCATTTTACATTGTATAGAGGCTGCTTCAATTAATTCGGATCGGAGGGAGTATTATTTTTACTGATTTCTTGATTTTTTTAATGTTTTAATTAAGTTGCTGACAAGGCAAGAGTAAAGTGATCCACATATCTGCCCTATGTCATGTCAGTCTGCGCAAAACCACTTGGGATAGGGCCAGGGGTAAACTGATTCAAGAGTTCAAGATTCGAAAGTAAACTTCTGCAATTTCAGGGTTAGAAGGTTGTTTTTTTTCATTTTTATAATCACCAAGAAATATTAGTGATATTTATCAGCCACATAGCCATCTGAAATTAAACCTGCACCAGCACTCTAAATATAATTTCAGTTTGCATTAACTTTAAAGCAAGTATGACCTGCATGGCTGCATTACTGCAAATAGATTGTGTTTTCACAAGTCCAAATTGCTACTGAAAAAACCTGAGTACATGAGATTTAGAGTTTAAAGCTTGTTAACATAGACCATACTTATTATCTTAACTATCTATATTATGTCACTAAGCGTTCATATATACGACAAAAGTATCAGATATCTAACAAATGATGGGAGTAGATAAGTTAGGGAATGCAACTAATATCCACCTTTGTTGATCCTATCATAGTACTCTTTATATTTAGTATTTGCGTTCTTCTGAAAAAGGAGGATTTTACTAATTTATGGGATATGGCATTTGCAATTATCTTTCACCACTGTGCTATGCAGAGACCAGACACTGTTAAAATTGATGCTCAAGATGCTAGTGGAGCAAAGATCAAAGTTAAATTATCAGAACTATCTGCAAGAGTTTTCCAGCATGAGTTTGATCATTTACAGGTATGAGCTTAACCTTGATCAAACTTAATTTTATCATGTATTTATGTAAGATTTTTGAATTAAATCGTCCACTAGCCAACTAAATGAGTTCATTTACAGGTATGAGTTCATTTATGTGAATGACATATTCAATGGCCAACTAAACTTTACTTCACTGTCCATGTTACTTTTGATCCAACAAACCAATTGGGTCTAAGGACACCTCAATTTACATAATGAAGGGCTTATATTGGTGTGTGAACACATTCAGCACTATAGTCACATGACCACTCACCATCAACTTGTGGATTTGCAGGGAATCCTTTTCTTTGACAGAATGACTATGGATGTTGTTGAGAGCATACATGAGCAGCTGAAGGTTAGTAACTGTGAATCCGAAGTTGGTGTAGTTACACTGGGAATATCATTTGATATTAGTTATTGTGCTTATTATATGCTCTCTCAAAAGCCAGCAGTGTTGTAATTATTGGAATAGTGGGGCGCTGCAAATAAGACACTAATGTCCCTCCAAATTTTGCTTTTCTTTTGGGAGAGCATAGAAGCACTAATTTGCTTGTTATCAACAGGGCTGTTCATGATGAAGATATGATCCTTTTTTTTTTTGTAAATGTGTTAGTCTTTCTTGGTTGGAGTTTTTTTTTAATGCTTTGTTGGCTGGAGTTACATGACTTTGGGTTTTTGGTTTGTTAAGGTTTGGTATATTTGCTGAATGACATGGCATAATATTTCTTGAAGCATGTGCGCGTGTGTTTATGATTTGTTATGCCGTATCTCATTTTGTAACTTTGCTTACGCCTAGTCGAACTTTCTCATTTCCAATAGAGTCTGGAGGACAAATACGTGGAAATAACAGGACAAGCAAGCCCTGAAACCATATCAAACTACAGAGGGACAAAGGATGTCGTTAGTTTTTCAAGATGATTGCGTCAGTCTTCTTCATCTTAAACATGCCTGGTTTGTGTGTCTTTTCATGCTCTATTAAGCAATTCTGAAATCTTTGTCTGCTACTGTACAAACAGGTTCTGCAAACTTTCCAAGTGCATCATCAAGCTGAGCTACAAATTCAAGTGTTTGTGGAACTGTTTGTTGGTGCATACACTGCTGTCATTCTAGTTTTGGCAGTTTTGCTATGTCTAGTTATGTACAACATTAATCAAATTGTACACAGAAATTTCACTATTTATGAATGAAGTATTATTTTCCAACAATGAATATCTGAATAGTATTTTGCATGCTATGATATTGGGGATATACTGTACTTTCTCTCTTTCCACGAGATTGTGTTGACCTCTTCTTTTCTCAAAATTTAAAGTACAAAGCAAAGATTACATCCTGGCCGTAGTTGTAACAACCAAATAACTGAGCCATGAATGTGTATTTTATACAATGGCAAGTTCATAGCCTTTAACTGGATAATGCGCAGTGATGTTAGTGCATCTCTTGCATTGGCCAGCATGTATTATACGTACTTGAGAACACATCATATGCTAGTATATCTTTGTATAACATGGCTGTATGGCCCCATGTATTTTGCCATTATGTTTGTTTCTGGCATAGCGATATTTATATCAAACAATGCACTAAGAAATCCTAATCTTTCCGTGGTGGCAAATCTGGTGCAATGAAGTCCATGCAAACATGAAACTTCTTCACAAGCTGTTTGATCAACATAAATAAGGATTATTGGGGAAAGTGTTGCTTGAAAGCACATTGGTAGTAATATCTCAATAAGAATGGTGGTTGTGGTATATTTTCATGTTTATCAATTGACTTACTCCCTCCTTCCATCTATATAGGGCCTAATGCGTTTTTCGAGGCTAACTTTGACCAAATATTAGAGCAATAATATATGACATGCAACTTACACAATGCACACCGTTAAATTCATGTGTGAAAGGAGTTTTCAATGATATAATTTTCACATTGTGCATGTCATGTACTATTAATCTTGTCAATAGTGAAAGACGGTCTTAAAAAACGCATTAGGCCCTATATAGATGGAAGGAGGGAGTACATTGAGTTTACATGTGTGCTAGCATTATGTATGATGAAATTCCCTAATAATATGGTTTGATGTGATCTTCATACAAAACTCTACTTTTAAATAATAATCTGTTATAGTTAAGAAATGTGGTTAATGTAGATAGTTACATCCATTCCAAAATAGATGTGTGAATTAGTCTTGGTATTTAAATATTGTAATTTTGCTTCCTGATGGCAGCACTTTATTTATTTAGTGTTGGTCGTGATAATTTAGAGATGGGTATATAAGCTGTATGGGCCAACTATGTAAAAGTTAATGCCTTAGCTCATCCGAGTGCATGGAACTGACAGGCAATTAGATTAGAAGTTATAATAATGATGGAAAGACAGTAAAAATGCTTATGCGTTAACATGTTGGCTGTCCACCTAGAAGTGAGATCACATTGTAAGGTTCAGTAAGTGTTGCGCCAATCTACGTATCTTCCATTATAGCTTATATTTGTTGTTCCCTTATTCAAAGATAGCTGATTCTCGCCGAGTTATAATGCTAGAAAGATGGTAAAAATGCTTATGCGTGATCATGATAACCTACTCCCTCCATTACTTAATATAAGACGTTTTTTAGTTACGGAGGGAGTAGTTAACAAATGGTCACTTCTCTGTCATGTTCTAATGGTTAATTTGCTTTCACTCATTCTATTTTTACACCATTATTATCTAATTAAGTTGATCTATTTGAACTTTTTTTTTCTATCTGTCCGTCAAAATCTTTCTAGCTAAATCTAAAAACACACACATTTCCTTTTCGCGCTGCACTGCTACATGTTTTGAATACAGAATGTGTATGTTGCAAATGCTTTTAGCATTTGTTGCTTAGAAGCTGGATGTATTGTACTTGTTCATTCTTCTAACAGTTCATTTTAATATCATTTTTCTGTTCCTTCTGCCCAAGTGCCAAAACAAACTTTTCCTTCGATTAATCAATCAGTATACTTTGTTGGTCATCTAAACATATTATATTGTAGCAATCTGTTTCTGAATCTTAATTGAGTTATTGCATATTGTACATTCAACATTGTCATTGGGATTCTTGGGTCGTTAACATTTGCTTCACCTTTACAGATGCTGGCACTGTTTTTATTAAATAGTAGGGTGTAGCAATGTGCAAAAGTGCTGTACTATTATTTTTTAACACTTAATACTTTGTATTAGCATAGAATAACATGCGCTATATTTTTTCAGCTCACACATATAATCTGCCTGCCTGCCCATTTTATATGAAAATATCTATGTTTCCTTTACCACAAACATGACACACTTGCTGTGATAACAAAACATAAATTAACTGTGTATATATGCACATGACGAAGCAATGGTGCAAAGGGTCGGAAGCATCACAACGACCACTCATGAATAAGCACCAACTAATGGATGAGGATACTATCTGTGTTTCAGCATATGTCATGGTATGACTGCAAGTTGTTCCCAGCAGGTTTTCCAATCTGCAGACAAGCTATGGGAGGGATGGTTGGAGTGAAGAGTTCCCCAAAAGCTTGCCAACAGAATGGATTGTTTAGGTGGTAGTGGGCTATTTGCACGGGTTTAAGTTGTACTCCGGTAAGTGTGATCCCTGAACAAGGTGAGCTGTCACTGCATGCAAAATGGAGAGGCTTGATTGTAAATGTCCCTCTGATGTTCTCATACTGAACGCCTGATACTGCCACTGCTGATGTTTGATTTGTGCAGGTTCTTTTGTCGCAATAGAACTGGTCTATCATAATAGGTGTTTGAACTTCGGAGACTTGTATGTTTGAGAACCTTATGTCTTGAACCAGTCCTATACCACCCTGCAAGGAGAATTCAATTGGTTTAGCTCAGTAGGTATTATGAGTTTATTCTGCATGCTCTTTCTTTAATTATTGATCTTACCTGCCAGGTCTTGATTCTGACACCAGTCATTGTTCTGAACATGTTGACATCTCTTACTGTTACATTAGAGACGCATGCTTTTGTGTTGTCCCGGCCTAGTCCACCAATGCTGATTCCATGGCCTGGTCCACAATTCACATTGTGTATGTATATGTTGCTACATCCTGTCTGGATGGAGATGCAATCGTCACCTGCATGGAACAAGACAAAAGATGCCATGTGATCTGTGCTATATACTCATTGTACTACTTTTGTGTAACTGCAAAAGATGCTTCGATACGATTCGCCACCCTTTTCCAGTGTACCCTAAGTCTGGAACTGTCCGCTGCACTGCAGAGCTTGCAGAACAGAGGGACATGCTTTCAGTTGATCATATGCCTTATATTATAGTTTGTTGGAATATATAAATTGTCTTGTGTTCTCAAATTCTGGTTGAAGATATGTTTCACGTGGACACGTGTTGGCAAAAAAAATTGCTGAACATAATATGAATGCATGCTAGATTGGCAAAACAAAATTCTTCTTGAAGTTAGTCATAAAGAGGAATTACCGCAAGCCAAGTTGGTATGATGAATGCTGACATCTTTGGAGTTCTGCAGGTGTATTCCGTCGGTGTTGAGACTGTTCTCAGGGGAGGATATTGTCAGGTCGTGGACCAGCACCCCTTGACAGTTGTCAAACTTGAGATGGCACTGTGAGCTGTTGACAATTGTGATGCCAGCCACTACGACATTTGAAGAACCATAGAACCTCAATGCCTGCATCAGAGTATGGAATCAAAACTGCCAGATGTTTGTTTTGGTATACAGTACTGAATGTGCACTAAAGATAGTGATCTTACCGTAGGTTTAACCCGTGGCATCCTTTCAAGCTCCTGATTGTACTGCTGGAATGTATCCAAGGTTAGTGATTAATAGACCAACTTTTGAATTGAGTGATCTAGTAATACTAGATGGTCGGGTCTTACTGTGTCGTCATCCTCATCGTCATTTGGGTCTGAGTAGGTCCACCACTGTTGCCCCCTACCATTTATGGTGCCACTGCCTTGAATTGATAACCCACTTAGTTTGGTGAATTCAAGCCATTGAAGCAAGCCAGAACCCCATGCTTTAGCATTTGTTGGGGCTAAGATCGTCCCTTCGAGCTGCAAAATTAGCACAACATTTAACCCCGTTATGTTTTTGTCTTTCACCTTTGCCAGATTGGAGTTTGTTTCTCTTTGTACACATGAAAATTTCGTTTCATTTCTATTTTCAAACATCCCACCACTTGAAACCTGCCGCGGCGTGATCTTAGACGTAGAAATAATTTAAATTACTCCCTCCAATCCTTATTACTTGTCGCTCAAACAGTCGAACGGATGTATCTAGATGTATTTTAGTGCCAGATACATCCATTTAAGTGACAAGTACATAAATATAAGACGTTTTAGAGACTTGTATGGTCACTCTAAAACATCTTATATTTGTGAACAGAGGAAGTATCAATGTGGCATTGGAAATGTTTTACGGTCTTAAACATGAAAACACTTCGAATTATTTTGATATATCAAATGTAGCATTGGAATCTGTTACATGCTCATAACATCAAGAGATCATTTTCCCTGCATATGTAAGAGTACATAGGAGTTGTGTTGTTCAATGCAGGTACATATTTGTATGTTAGTATGTTAGTATAGAATCTAGAAGAAAGGGAGGCAAGGGGAAAGCTTTCTCAGGTGCATATTTGGCATTAGGTGCAGAATTACCTGGAAAAGAATGTTTGGTTTGCAGTAAGGCCCAGAAAAGGAGATTGGCCCAACAAGGAACTCTAGTTCTGATGGTACGAGAACTGTAGACGCTCCCAGCTTGCACGCAGCAGCCCACGCTGCTTGAAAAGCCTGCATGCACACTAATTTATTAGAGGTTTGTTCTCAAAAGACTAGACTAAGCTAATCATAGTACTCCTATATAGTTCCACTGTGCCCCTATGGTTTTGTCGGAGTGAAACAATCCTAAACCGTACCCAGAAAATGAGGATTTCTTTTGGCTGAAAAGAAACCCAAATACACTGTTAAATGTTGGTTGAAGCTTAATTTTTGGAAACTTTCAATGCATCTCCCAATTTCCATGAATTTAACCACCATTGATTTTTATTTTCTGGTGTGTATTTTGGATTTCAAGTATGCCTCTACATAAAACATTTCAATCTTTTTAAGAAAAAAATTTAAGGAACTGGTTTTTCCAGAACTATATAACACTAAAAAAAGGTATAGTTGGTCGATCCCAATTTTTGCCATCGATATGTTTCCCGCGTGCAAACAATATTTTGAAAAAATATCGATGTTTTTCTTGCGAACCCTGAATATATTCTTCAGTTTTTTGTTAACCCTGACTTGATGCCCACTTTGTTCACCAAGAGAACGTGATTCCTCAAAAAGGGGAAGCCGTACCAGCTTGAAGTGTGGACATGTGAAGGACAGAACAATCCAAAAAGAAACAAATAAAATTTCCGGCAAGCACAGGCAGTCATGCAAATACTGACTACAGAAAGGTATGTCACTAGTGACAATTTCCTGCGGCTCTGCACTGGAAATCATGTGAGAGTAGTCGATGATCATGGATCATAGGACAGTAATCATGCGTGGGTAATGGGCAGTGCAAAATGGAATTGGCAGTGAGAATTTCTGAGTCGGGGAATGCATGATGCTACACAAGTTAGCGAATTTTCTCTCGATAAAACAGCAATTTGAGGGGCAGTGATGTTGACCAACCTTTGTATCGTCTGAAATTCCATCACCCTTGGCTCCGAAATCAACCACGTTAAACACCGCGCCTGGTGAGGCTGAGGCCGCAGGTGGTGGCTGCGGCGGTGGCTGCCTGCCCTTTCCACAGCTTGGAGATGAAGGCTGTGGACTTGTATGTCCATTGCCTTTGGCAGGGCTCGGCTTGGGGCTCGGGCTCGGGCTCGGACTTACAGGTACATTGGGGCTTGGCTGGTATGGCGTCTGGTGTCCTTTGCCAACACCAGGGGGGGCTGGTGGCGGGCTTCGCCGGTTGCCCCCGTGCTGCCGGTGGGAGCTGCCCTTCTTTGCCTTCCCTTTCTTCTTGAGCAGAGAGGAGCTCGGCGAGCTCCTTGGCCTCCAATGCTTGCCTCTCCTCGCGTCACAGACATCAATGGTGGAGCATAGAGCAAGCAAGACAAGGAGAAGCAGGAGGCCGAAGCCTTTTACTCTGAGCTTCATCCTTGTGTCTGTTGTACCTGTTGGCTAGCTGTGTGGAGAGTGTTTGTACGTGCTTGGGGAGTAGATAGATAGACAGCATACACAAGAGGTGTGGATTGCTTGTGAGGAGGGAAAGACAGAGGCTTCTCTTTAAATAACAAGCTTCAGATTCAGGGCTGCCACGTTTGCGCCTCCCTCTCAAGATTAGATGAAAATGAATGCGGGAAATGGGGCCCCAACTCACGTGCATGCAAAGGTCTTGTAGCTGCACAGGGAATTGGTAAGTGATGTCTTCTTGTTGCTTATGCTCCTCGCCATGATCATGTATGCTTGGCAATTTGTTTACGGCGGTTATTCAGTGAGAACTTGTCGGTGGTGAACCACATCTATTATGACATATTCAGTAATCTCTCTCTGCTATAATCACATCTATACCCTTTGCTCCGCATCTTCTTTGACACCGATTTACTGGAACAGGAATGAAGCATACGATTTATTCACGAGCAGATTTTGTGGGGAAACAAAACGGCCGTTCTCCTTTATATATATCCTTCCCTGTGGTCCAAGAGATCACGTGCAATTAGAGCGCTAGTATGTCCAGTTTGGCAGCTAATCCAAGATCCATATGCATTATGGAGGATACCAAGGTGATGCACAAACCCAGAGTCTATATATTGGCTGCCTTCATATTGTGAGACTCACTTGTCAATAGGACATTAGGACATCCTTTTTTTATTGACCCTGCTAAAATGTCCTTTTCATTCAAAATCGCCATATCAATTGTGATTATGCTGATCGGCCCAATATGAGGACTCTGCTAGAGTTTGCTCTTACTAATATACGGAATTACTAACGCTCACATGCATCTCGCTGAACCAAAATATTTTTTGTTCTGTTTACAGCTCTAAGAAACAAGGAGGGAAGCAAGTAAAAAAAAAGTCATCTCAGGCAAGCCTAACAGCTCATTTGCTTTGCAGAATTTAGTCAGTTTACCCAGATGGCTATGAATGTGCTTTACCCGGCATCCTCGGCGGTTTTGCCCCCGTGTTCAATGATAGACATGGTTGTCCGTACGTTTAATCTATAGAGGTGCCATGCCAGATCCCTGCTCCTTTGTTTTTAAGCTGTGGAAGATTGATGCGTCTCTGCCATGCCATGGCTGTGCACGCAGTGCAGTTATGCGTATGTGCCCACTTTTCGATCGGTTGCCAAAACCAAAGGCAGACATGTGATCGATCACTGACGGGACGAGCTAGCATCTAGCCGAGGCGGAGGCTAGTCCGTTTCTGAACCAAGCATACGTACTCCCGTGCCCGTGGCAGCCAACGGTTTTGAGCTGCTCGCGCACATCAACCTTGTACGTGAAGGTGAAGGTGAAGCTGGTGGGAACGAAGCCCACCGAATTAACGTGTGGCCATGAACAGGGCAAGAGGGCGCGGTAAGACGAGCGCGCGGACTGGCGCGCACATGCCCGGCTCACATGGGGGCAACGGTCACGGGCGTCACGCAAGGGCCGCGCGTTTGTCCGCGCATCGCCCGGGCCGCAACCGCTGCCTGCCCGCATGCGGACGCCGTCGCAATCTCCGATTCCCTTCTCCCGTGCTCCTTGTCCAATCATTCATCCATACATCCATCTCCGCCATGCCGCTCATGGCCGTGCATCCATCGCTTATTAATACAGTAGTTGGCTTCCAAAATAGGTTGCCCCGCTCGGTCGGTGACTTGATCAGCCGTGACCTCTCCCCTAGGACAATGGTCGATGCCCACATTTTCAGCGCTATCTCCGTCTCCAAGACGATCGATCTCCACAGCCTACACGTCTCTTAGTGGTTGTTTGGCTAACAAATATTAGCCATGGGATTATACAGAACGTGTTTTTAGCTGATGTTTAGCAAAACCGGTTTTACAAATTATTTTATGTAAAACCAGTTTATAGAAAAATATGTTTGGCTTGCTCTTGAGTCCTGACTCCTCCCGTGACCTTCCCTCGATAAAATACTCTTGCCGTGACTTTCTCTTTCTCTCTTAATTCCTCGACTTGACCATTGGAGACGGTACGCGGGCTCCAACATCTATTCCTCCTCTGTTTTCGGTCCTCAGAGCATTACTAGTAGAGCCCTCAAACGCTCAAACCCCTAAAAATAACTGATTTTTTTACAGTTTTCGTCGAAAAAAAGCCGTAGACTAGAATCCTTTAACCCTCAAACCCTCAAATTTTTGTAAAGGTCCAACCCTCAAACCCTCTCCCAATCCTCAAAAATAAGGGTTGGGGAGCAAAACCTACTCCAACCCTCATTTGACGGTTATACTCGCGCGGGAGGGAAAAATCCTTCCAACTCCCGCGCCCACGCTCGCGACCGCCGCTGCTAGTCACCCTCGTCTCCGGCGGCCGCCCCGTCGACCTCCCGCGCGCAACGACAACGTCGTTCATGGGGAATATTCCGTTATAAGGGTTGGGTTTGAGGGTTCTAATCTTTGCCCCTGTTTTTCAATCCGTAAAAGTGCACAAAAAAAATCATTTTTGGACCCTTAAAACGCTAGTGAGGGTTCAAGGGTTTGAGGGTTCTACTAGTAATGCTCTCAGTCCCTCAACGCCATTACTCGCCTTCCCTTGGACCGACCTTGGACGACTCCACGCGCAGCCGCCAGTACGTGCTTCACTTCTGCTCATACTAGTCAAGTACGTATACGACCATCGCGGGCGTTGGGTACTTGCCTGAAGTACTCCAGGTCTCGGTGTTCTACGTGCCATGTACCCCATACATGTCGAGAGACTTGAGGGAGGTGCAGTCGTCCTTGTCCAGCATGAGCTCGCGCGCGCCCTTGCTGACCATGCGGTTTCAGGAGCTCGCCGAGGGTGCCGTCGCCGTCGGGGCGCTCCTGGCCGCCATCCCGTATGTGGTCTTTATATACACCGATCAGCCGGTGACATGCCACAGGTGACGCACATCACCGATGGCGTCGATACATCATCCTAGCTCCGGCCGCGAGCCAGCGGAATCCTGGGCGCAAACGCAGCGACGGCCATGTCGTGGCCGGAGGACGAGCACGACTACTCGAGGAGCATCCTTACCAGACAGCGGCACATCGATGCGTTCATGGCCATAGCCGAGGCTGGAGGACGAATCGCGAGGAGTATCATATCAGGCAGCGGAGATGTGACGCGGCGTCGGCCATGCCGTGGCAGGTTGGAGGACGCCGATTAGTTGCGATGGAGTATATGCAAATCAAGCTTTTACAAAAACGACTAATAGTCGTTTTTCTATAAACGCAGATTTTGAGGTTTTCGAAAATCAAGTATTCCAAAAACGCAAATTAGTTAGAGCATCCAAACGAGATTTTATTCTGTTAGCCTCTGTTCTTGGTTTATAGAGAATTCGTTTTCTATGTACCACCTATCCAAACAACCCCTTAGGAAGAGTTTGGTAGCCCACATATACCTCAGCGAGGTCTGCGTGGAATTTTTTTTGGCCCGTTTGGCTATCCGCATTAACTGTAGGGTCTGCATAGCATGAACTTTAAAGCATCTCTGGGGCTATATCTAGAGGAACGCTCAAATCGGTCGTTTTTGTGAAGTCAGGCCCAAGCGGTGCAACCCTGGGCATGTGGGTGTGGGCGGTTGCACGCGTGGATGTGGTCTCGAGACGTCGCGTTGTTTCGTGAGGCGTCGTTATAAATTACCCTCACCTCCCTTCCTCACCACTCTCTTCCCTCTTCCCCACTCATACCGGCGGCGGTGACCACCAGAGCGACATCAGGATGATCCAGGACGGCGGCTATGATCGGAGCGACTGCAGAACTCCATCGGAGCGCATCAGCCATGGCGGTAAGTCCTTGCCCTGTCTCTAGATTTACTGCTTTCTACTCGGGCTAGATTTGATTCGAGCACACAATTGGAGAGGGGATTGAACATGGGGTGGGGATTGGATTAGGGGAAACACTGCCGATGAACACTCCAATCCATCGATTATGCACCGACGCCGTTTAGGGTTCATAGGGTCATTTTTCGATTACATCGGGGGTGGGGATTGGGGGTACAAACTTTTTTGTCTAGCCGCGACGACTCTGAAGTCGCGTCGAGCGGCGGGGGGCATAGCCATCTTCTTTTCTTCCTCATCGTCTTCGCTATCATCGTCTTCATCAAGAACCATGGATCTTGCACGGTTGCCTGCCATCGGCACCCTGGCCACCATCTACACCGCGTCGTTGTCGTCCTTAGGCGACACAAGCGTCCTAGTCCAGTACGCCGCGGCATACTGGTCTTGAGGCATGCAATTAATCAACATGTGGATGTTGATTTCTGGTCTGCATTTGTTCAACCAGACCAAAATGCACGTAAACACACGTGGTGTGATTTTCGGGTAACTGGTACATTTTGTGAAGGCAAGACAGAGGCCAATAAAGAAGCCCTGAATCCACATGCCCTTGCTCACAAACAATCATCGCCCCTGCACTGCACTGCATTGCACCCGGCGCCAGGCGTACTGTGCTGTCTAGGAGGTTCGCCAACACGTAACACGTAGGAGGAGTATGTGGCTACACGTCTGGCTTTTCCTTACTGTCGCGTTCGCTACGGTCAGCTTCGTATCGTATACACTCTCGCCTAATCGTCATTGATTTCTGCACTCGTCCTATTCCTTTATTGCACCGCTGCAGAATCCATTTGCAAGAATCTAATCTACGCTCAGATAGTCCTGGCACCGGTCCTCCACCTTCTCTTCTTTATACATCCGCATACGGCAGGTGTCTGATTTATACGCACGCAAGTGTGTCCTGGTCACAACAGCAGCATTGATAATCTGATTGATACAGCACTGCTGTACATCAGTATTATTATACTCCGGAGTACTTCGTTGTAGTTCATCTAAGATGGCGTATACAAATGGGTGGGGAGGCACACCCCACAAGGCACAGCTGCTCTCTGCACATGTAGTTACTATAGTACAGTATGCAGTAACAAGCACTCGAGTGGTCACTCATCAGGCTAAGCCTCACAGGATGCACTTTTATCGCTAGCGGCA